GCGAGAAGGTAAGCATTCATTTGATTGACTTTTCAATTACCAAGCGAACAACTCAGATATAGTGGCAGGGCAGACTAACTCTGTGGGGATAAAGGAATAGGAAGCCCACTTTAGCGCCCACCTTATATAGAGTAGACAGATAGAGCTTCTTAGCAATTACGTTAAATTGATGCTTCAACCATACATAATTACATAACAGTTTTGACGGGCACCAGATTGCTCTCAATTTATTCATGCGTCAAAATGAACTGTATATGGATGTACACTAAATACACAGATGTGGTAAAAGCAGGCTCTGGCAAAGAGAAATATTTAACAGGAAATAGCGCACTTATAGTCTACCCATTGTAAAGCGCCATGGAATTTGTTGGTGCTATATAAATATAATAAGAAGTTTCTGGATAATAGAATGCATTATTATTATTTGTATTTATGTAGCGCCAACTAATTCCACAGCGCTTTACAATATTATGAAAGGAGGGAGAAGGGGGAAGATTTCAAATACTCAAACTTAGTCTAGTGGAGGTGGGGTACAATAACACAACAGGACAGCAAGGGTGACAGCCACCAAACAAGGTGAAAAAGCAGCAAAGCTGGAGGTGAGAGTGGAGTGAGGCTCTTTAGGAGAGCAAGAGACAGATATGGATAAGTATAGATAAGTTACTCTGGGAATATATAAGCATTTCTGAACATATGTGTTGTGAGGGACTTCTTAAACCAGGGCTTGACAAATTTGTAATATGGAATATAGGAGCCAGTAGCCAGTGCAATTCTTAAAGGGACACTATAGTCACCAGACCCACTACAGCTTGGTGTCTACAGCCTGTCCCTGCAAGCGTTTCAGTGTAAACACTGCCTTTTCCGCAAAAAAGCAGTTTACATTGCTGCTTAGTAACACCTTTAGTGACAGTCACTCAAATGGCCACTAGAGTGTCCTGGGTCACTGCTGCACCATGTGCAGCACCCAGGTTCAGTATCTCCAAGCTCTGCATGGAGGCGCTGAATGTTCCTCATGGAGATTGATTAATGTAATGCATCTCTATGAGGAGATGCAGATTGGTACATTTGCTGCGCATGCACAAAATCCTCCCAATGTTTTAAGGGAAAGCATTGCCTTAGCGGAGATCATAAAGATTTATCATCATCTCAGCCATGGCGAAACTGGCACGGTGTGGGAAAATGGGGGAAAAAGTGAGCAAAAACACCTTCCTCATGCAATCAGAGGGGGCAGGTACCTAAACGCGCACACAATGACAGGCTCACACACACTCTTACACTAACAGCCTTGCACGCATGCACACACTGACAGGCGCTCACACACACACTCTTGACAGGCTCGCACACACAAACTCAGACAGGCGCTCAAACACTCGACAGGCTTTCGCTCTCACACACACATACAGACACTGACAGGCTCTCTCACACACACACATTTTTGTTTGAATTGAAACCCACTCAGCCTCCCTACCTTTGGGAGAGCTGAGAGGGTCTTTCCTGGGGTCCAGTGGGGCTGCTCTCTTCCTGTGTGCTCCCTCGCACTTTGTAATGATGCCGGGGCCGGAATGACAAGCGACGGGTGAGAAAGATCAGCCTGGCGGCAGCATTCATTGCTCATTGTAGCGGGACAGTTTGGCATAAAAAAAGTTAATGGTATCAGACATGCCTGTAGAAGACAGTTTGATAACGCTGAGAGCAGTAACTTCCCCGTTACATAACTGGAGGGTAAAGTGATAGTTTAGAAAAATAAGATATCTACCGCTGTATAAGAGGTTTCCATGGTGACTGCCGTATTTTGGCAGCTTAGACCACTTCTCATCACAGACACTTTGCATTTACATAAAATACTGCACTGGGCAACAGCCTGCTTAATTCAAATTGCTAAAATGAGAAATGTACTTTTTAATTGGTTTAAAGCGAGCGCGGCCCGGCAGGCGGCCCGCAGGACACAGTGACGGTGTTCTATCAAATACCCCTACCCGTGAAAATCCCCTACCCCGTCACTTCCGGTGAGGGGCACCAGCTGGATCCTGCGCTGCACATGGTGCTGGCACCCCTGCTACTCACAGAACGCCGGACACGGTGATACGGTAACGGATAAATCATAAAGCCGCGTTACATCTGATCACGTGATGTCTTTTTGATAGAACACCGCGCTAAGGGGTCAGGCCTGCTGAGCGCCCGGAAGCTCCGCCCACCCTCACACCTCCCCAAGGATAGCGCTTTCCCCGCCTCACGCCGGGTTACGTCAGGTCGGCGGCCACGCCCCCACG